TTTGTTATTTTTTTAAATAAGCTCTCTGTGTTGGTCTTTCAAGATAAGTTATTAGTACGACCGTATATTTGTAATGCATATTCATAACAAGTTCATGCATATTCATAACAAGCAGTTCCTGGACTCATGTTTTCTCACCTCAAATGTGCTTCCAGTCTTCTCCAACTCTGGAGGAACAAAACAGCCGTCAGGATCACCTGAGAAAAAAGGACAAAACAAGACAAATCGGTAAGATTCTTACACTCTCACAAACACAATCGAACATGAGTGATGCTTGTCCATGCAAAAGTCAAATATAAAAAATCATGAGCTAGAAAACACAAACTGATAATACGTGAATGAATGCAAATGCAACGCATGCTAAAGAGCAGTCAGACACAAAAGCGCAGATGATCAAACGCTCCGGTGGTGATGTTTAATTGCACTGCCTTCATCAATAAGAGAGCGCTTTCTCTCTGTGAATAAGAGGTGCCGCATTGTCTCGCTGTCTAACAGATCCTCCTCCAGACGCTTCTGCTGAAATAGGTCAGGCTTTCTCCTTCAGAGTATGCCAGATCCTCCAGAAACTCCTCAGGGTTATGCTGGCCAGTATATTTAGATCGCATGCAGTGCGGCCTTTGAGAAACGAGCTGGAGGACCAAACCACTGCTTGTTTTTCTGTTGTTCTCATTCTATGAGACCTGAAGCAGATCTAGACTTGTTTTCGTGATGGTTTTGAACTTACATTTGTGATTTTACAGGCATAGAGAGAAGGGTTACACTGTAAAAAACACAATGTTTCATGTATTACAGGATGGCATATTGGTGCTGGTTTGTTTTACAACCAGGGCCAATAATTAAAACTCACCGAGCGTGAGTGAAAATCAGCGCATATATACAGTATGAAACGCTGCTGGCCGGTCACTTTTTTTTAATTAAGTCTAACAATGCCTGAGCACATGACATGGTTTAGTGTGATGAGCAAATGTATGCGATCTGACGCACTGCGCTGTGATGTCTTCACGTGAGCCGCTCATGATAACAGTGTTTTCATTGACGAGATTGTAATGAGAAGTGTTTGAAAATCTGAACAAAAGAGAAGGATTTGAAAAGAGAGGTTTCTCTGCAGTTTTCCGCCAAAATAAAAGCTCTAGGCTTAACGTTTGAAAGCAAAGAAGAAAAAAAACAATCATAAATATAAGTATTTTAATTTTACTCTTGTTATATAAAATAATAATAATAATAATAATAATAATAATAACAACAGGTAAATAACAAAATTAATAATAATAATAATAATAATAAATAAATAAATAAATAAAAAATGCAATGAGATGTGTTTCACAATTTGTTCTGTCGTTTTTTTGTTTTTTTATGAAATGCACATACAGTTTCTTGGATGGTAAAACAATATTTATGGCTGGTAAACTTTTTACTCTTGACAGGTGTAGCAAAATGTTAGTTTTAGGCCCTGTTTACAACTTCCAACATAAAATGCAGCACAAAACACCTAAATGAACAGTACTGGTAACAAAAATCAGAAACAAAACTATGTATATCAAATATAATCCTATGTGACGTGTCACGCAGGGATTTCTGGGAATGTCCTTTTACTGTTTTTCATAGTAAATTTATATGGTAATTGGTAGTTTTTACTTGCAAAAACCCTAAATTTGACATAATTTTACAGTAAAATTACAGGTAACACTTTACAATAAGGTCCCAGTAGTTAATGCATTAACTAATATTAACAATGAGAAATACATTTGTTTTTTATTTACCGGAGGAAGCATTATTATGGACTATTTTAGGATGGATTTGTTTCAGCTTTTGTCTCTCCAGATGTTAACTGGACTGGAGTGCTGTGGATTACTTGTGGATTATTGTGATGTTTTTATCAGCTGTTTGGACTCTCATTCTGACGGCACCCATTCACTGCAGAGCATCCATTGCTGAGACACTGATGCAATGCTACATTTCTACAAACCTGATGAAGAAACAGATCTTGGATGGCCTGAGTATGTGTAAACCAACAAATTTTCATTATTGGCTGAACTATTCCTTTAATAATGTGTTTTACAGTGGTGGGAGGGTGTCGTATCTGTTAAACGTTATGCAAACGAATGCATCCATTATCTACACAATGTCACAGCGTGTCACACATGTGAAAATCCCACTTATGAAGAAGCCAGGGAGACGATGACTAACGCGAGCGCTGAGTGATGGATTGACTCATGCAGCTGGTGACTCACCGTTGAGCTGCTCCATGAAGCACACATTACCGTGAGCGTTGAAGGCCAGCGTGTCGGGCGTCACGCAGAGGGTGTGAAAGAGCGGTGAGAGGCCGATGCTCTGGAGAGAACGAACACACTCCACACACACCGCCCACAACTCCTGCTCCGACAGCCCACCGTCCCGTAGACACAGAATATCAGCCAGAGACACGTTCTCCTGAGGATGGAGAGCACATACTGACAGATCAGTCTCATGCATGCACAAACACACATATGCATGGGTTCAAACGTCTTTGAAAACTAGTGAAAACATGTTTGCATTTTTCTAGTTTAATGCAAAAAATTCACAAATTTTATTAACAGCATAACAGTAAAAGTCAAATGCAAGTGAGCACAAACCCACATACTAGCAGTCAAAAGTTATAGGAATAATTAAGATTCTTTAGTATTTTTGAATACTTCTGCTCACCAAGGCTGCAATTGTTTGATCAAAAACACAGTAAAAATTGTGAAATATTATTACAATTTAAAATAGCTGTTTTCTATGTGAATATCTGTTAAACTGTAATTTATTCTTGTGATCAAAGCTGACTTTTCAGCATCATTTCTCCAGTCTTCAGTGTCACATGATCTTCAGAAATCATTCTAATATGCTGATTTGCTGCTCAAGCAACATTTCTGATTATTATCAATGTTGAAAACAGTTGTGCTGCACAATATTTTTGTGGAAATCGTGATGCATTTTATTTTTCAGGATTCACAGATGAATAGAAAGTTCAAAAGAACAGCATTTATTTGAAATATAGTTTTTTGTAACATTATAAATGTCTTTACCGTCACTTTTTCATTACTTGAAATAAAAGTTAAAGGGGTCATATGATGCGATTTCAAGTTTTCCTTTCTCTTTGGAGTGTTACAAGCTCTTGGTGCATAAAGAAGATCTGTAAAGTTGCAAAGACTAAAGTCTCAAATCCAAAGAGATATTCTTTATAAAAGTTAAGAGTCAGCCACACCTACCTAAAACGCCTCGTTCTAACACGCCATATCTACATATATGCATGTCAACATATTCTGTTACACCAAATACACAAAATAATGATCTTTAAAATAGCATCATATGACCCCTTTAAATGAAATAAAATAAAATATAAAACACTTTTTATTTAAGTTAGTTGGCAAGGCATCATTTCTCATTTTAATTTAGTTTAACTTTATGTACTAAAATAAGTAAAACTAAAACTTAAATAAAATGTAAAATTACATAGACAAAAAAATTAAATTACTAACATTTTAAATAAAAAATTATAAAAATAAAAAACTCAATTCAAAATATTAATAAAAACTATGACAGTATCTCAATTATACTAAAATAACACTGCAGCTTTGATCACAGCAATACATTACATTTTAAAATATATTCACATAGAAAACAGCCATTTTCAATTATAATAATATTTTACTATTTTTACTGTATTTTTGATCAAATAAATGCAGCCTTGATGAGCAGAAGAGACTTCTATCAGACACATTAAAAATCTTAATTCCAAACTTTTGGCCAGTATTGTATACACACACACACACACACACACACACACACACACACACTCATATAGTAAAAATCCAAGATCTCCATGGCGACCTATTCGCTCCAGTGGAATATTTCATGGATTACAAAGCACTGATTGTAACACCCTCTTATAAGTTCCGCTATGATGTCAGTAGAATCTGTACATCATTGTGTTCAATTTCGTGAATTAATTTCCATGAGGAATGTGTGTTTGGCAGATGTGTGAAGGACAGCTGTGTGTTTACTGTATGCTTTCCTCTACAATCAGGTCTAAACTACATTTGCACATGCTCTGAAGAAAACGTCACTAACATGACGCTGGGACATTGTTATGCAGTTACTAATGTGTTTACAAACCAAACTCCATACATACAGTTCTCTTTTTTTATCCTTCATAAGGAAATAATCAAATCGTGACGAGATAAGAGGCATCTTCACAGATGGGAGTCATAAGCAGACTTACTGCAAGATCCTCTTTGAAGACTTTTGAGTCACTGCATAATCTGCTTAATAAATAGCAAACGAATATTCTGCTGCTTCAGATGGATCTGATTCAACAAATCTCTGATCCAAAAACAAGCTCATCTCAGTGATGATGTCATAGTCCAGAAGAAGGCCATAGAGATGCTTTAACAAATGTATTTTGTGCTTCTTTTCATATGGGCAGCATGTTTAACTAGAAACGGCACATTCGGATTTTCCATTGCTATACTATTTAGGTTGAAACTTTCCATGTAAACACTTTTTCTATAAACATTTCCACAGACTCCAGTTTGATATTTGTTAGGATAATATTCCTGTTTTAAGATATTTGGATGTTCACAATACAAAATAAGTTTGACTTATATAAATAAGTTAATGAATAATTAATCGAAAATTAGGTTAAATTAAATGAATAAATAAACATTACATTAAAATAAACAAATAAAAGCTAAATATTTTCTAAATGTTATTACATATTTTCATAGTATAAATTTTGTACTATTAAAGATGCCTTAAAATAATCAAAAATGAGATCAAAATAAATAAATAAACATTAGATTACAATGAACAAAAAATTGGTAAATAAATAGAATTTAATACATTGAATAATTATTTTTTTAATTAAAATAAATAAATAAATAAATAGAGTACAATAACAGTACAAGTATGAAAAAAAACATGCAATAAAGTAAATGAATAGAAACTAAATATTTTCCAAATAAGATTATATTAATATTCATTTTCATTTCACAGTAAAAATCAGGTCTTTTTTACTACACAAATGCCTTTAAAATAATCCAAAATAAATAAAACCTTAGATTAAAATAAACTATTAGATTAAAATAAAGTAGTAAATAAACAAATAAGAGTAAATAAACAAATAATAATAGACCAAAATAAATAAAAAATAAGATTTAAACAAATAAATGAGTACTTTAACATATAATAATATTTTCCAAATAATATTTTAATCATATTTATAGCATAGATTTTTCACAGTGTAATTTGTGTCTTTATACAAGCACCTATTATAAATGCCTTTATAATTTTAGGATGCAGGTCTCTCGCATGATCATATGATGATAAATAATTGAAAACCCCTGTCGTGACACACTCTGGTACATGTTTTTAGAGTACATCACTGTATATTAAATAATAATTTGTAATATATCCCTAGGTATTAGTTGAAGTACTTCATTTTTACAGTAGCGGTTCTAGAGTTTAATACTCTAGTTAAAGTTAATGCTGTAATGATGTGATGCCCATATTTCTATGCTGGCTCTCAGCATCCAAGCATGCACTGCGGTGTAAATAAATGATACGGCTGCACTGTTTTTGCTGTTGTGTGTTTTATGTTGTCACTTTTAGTTACTGCAACACAACAGACTAACACATGAATAAAAAAAAGACAAACAGCATATGTTTATACACCAATAGAGAATGAAACTCTTCACTGGAGCTGAATAATAACGTGTTTATAGGGCATAAAGTTGCCATCTCATGCAGCTGTAATGGCACGAGCCCGTAAATAGACAATCTCCCGTGAGAACAGAGCGTTTCTCCTCAACCTCCCTACAATCTCTCTCTCACACACACACACACACA